ACACCCAGCCTGCATACGGGATAGTGAAGGAACAGCTGCAGACTAATGAGGTCATCTCTGAGTTCTCTTCTTCTATCAGCATGTTTCTTGTAAGAGCATCTGCATGCTGCACACCAGCTGGTTCTCAGTCCTGCCCTTACTCCTGCTAGTCTGAGTGCTGCTGTACTGGAGATTGCTAGCTGCATTTAAAATAACATTTGATTGTTTTAATGTATACATAGATTATTTAATTTCTCTTAAATCTACCTAGAGTTTGGGATTAATGGCACGTAGTAGTTCTCTTTTTATCAGACATTTGAAAAAATTTATAATCTTGGGTAAATATGATTTAATTGTTTTAGGTTTATCCATTTCCGAATGATTGTACATCTGTTTCTACTATTTATATAGAATCTTCCATGTACAAGTAAACATTTAATGCAGGGTGCACCTTTGACACTGTTGTAATGGAGCAGTGTTTGCTAAAGAGAGAACACACAGAAGTTGTTTGCCTTCAGACTCTTTCTGTCAGATTGAAACTTCATACAGAGCTATCTTACCAGGCAGAAATGGGAAGGTGGATGAGCCATTAATCTGATTAATTCTCAACACAGCTTGGAGCTTGAGATATTGATTTTTGTAAACAACAGGCTTTATACCGCAAGTTAGATAAGGATAGCCTGCAAGGCATGCGAAAGGAAGACAAGGTCTCGATCCTTTGGTTGGATTTGAAATACAATATACTACTTTTGCAATAATTCATACTTACCTAACTAAAAATCTAGCAATGTCCAAATGCAATGCAGATGCCTGCATATAGTCTCACTCATCTCTTAGAGTAAACTGAGAGCCCAGAAACATGGGGACTGTATTATACAAAAGCTGACTTTAGTTAGGAAGTCAGCTTTTTGCCTGCTTTTTGTGCCTCTCTATTGATCAGTGAGACCATCCATCAAAGCTGATGGCGGGTAGTAAGACGCAGAAAGGGAGGGAATCTAAGTGTTGGTTTCCCTAGCTGAGGTTGGTGTTTCTTGCATTTTACAGTCACACGGAGGGAGTGACATCACTGCTTCCTCTGTTCTCTGACATTAGTTATTTTGGAGGTAGAAGAAGCTGGGGGGTGCTAGAGAGGTGAATATAAAGTGGCTGGTGGTGAGCTTTATAAAGACACTGTCGTTCTGACCTCAGTGGGCAAAGTAACAGTGTCTCTTTAAAGCACAATTTAACTAAGTTTAAATCAGCTAAATACATTGCAGGTTCATCAAAACAAAAGGCTTTCAATGTTCTATAGTTTGTTTTCTTCCTACTGTAAAGCAGCTATACCATGAATTTAAAGAAAAAACCTGTCCCCTGCCATCACACTATGAAACTCTTACTCTCTGTGGGAAAGCAGTGATGCCCCTGCTGAGACAGAACCAGAGCTCTCCAATCAACAGGAAGTATGAGCTTTGTTGAATGCAGAGCTATAGGTCTAACTCAGTAGGGGACATGTCATACCTATTTATGCAGAGAGACCACTGCTTCCCCCGCTGAGAGCAAAGATCCAACTCTGCAGCTGCTGGCAGAGGACAGGCTGTTTTAGAAAGGGGAGGAGCTGTAAGATATTGCACACCTTTTGTTTTGATGCACCTGAAATGTCTCTACCTGATTTAAACTGGGAGTTCATTTGGGCTTTAAAGAGAAAATTAAAGTGGATACCCTGAAGGCATCTATTACAGCAGCTAATTTCATTTTGAAAAAAGCATGGACAGGAAGTAGAAAGCTCATGGACTGGAAGCAATGAGATATCCGTAGTGCTGCGCTCCTCATTCACACCTAGCGACATACCTTTTGCAGCGGATCCGCACGGCCGGGATAGCGCGACTTTCGGGGCGACGTTCCAGCGACGATCCAGCGACGGTAGCGCGACCTTCCCCGTCGGGCTCCATAGAAAAAAAGCAAAATCGTGCAAAATCCGCAGAAAAAAGGGTCCGGTAGAAGCGACTTGCGACCGCGACGCGCGACATGGAGTTAAGACAGCTCCATTGAATAACATTGGCCGGCGACTTCTTGCGATATCGCGCGGCAAAAATGCGCGATATCGCGGTGGAAATCGCGCGACAATTCGCTATATGTGAACGGGGCCTTAATGTGCACATTGATGGACTCCCCAGAAACATGTTAATTTTTAACTAAACTGCTGTATCTCCAAATGCTCAGTGCAAGATGAAGGTATAGTAAGTTTTACATTCATGTTTGTGAAATTTATTACTAGCTCTTCTCTTTTACATGGGATGACTTTTAGCTTAGTTTTACAAGCCCTTAATGTCCGCACCTGAAAACCCTTGGTACTTATTAAAACAGCCGCACGCTGCGAGAAACTGCTGTTTTACTTGCTGCCGTCTCATGGGAGGGAGCTTGTTGTAAAGTGTTACATAATGATTGTTTAAGTGCAATTAAAACTTGCTGGTTCAGAATGTATTTATCTTGTAATGACCCATTTTTTTTCCATCTTGCTACCAAGAGGCTCAGAGCATGCATAAATTATAGGGCTTCAGTCATGTAAATTCAGATGACATTCAGCAAGCCCTTACTTTTGGAACTTGGCACGATTAAAATATGAAGGAAGCATTCAGTGCATGGCAAGTGGGTCAAAGAAAGCATTTCGGTTGTTGTAAATTATTTTTTGTTTTTTAATTTTCCAGAATATTCCTAGGAAAGCCTGATTAGAGATCAGCTTGAATTATAGGGCAGGTGCACACAAGTAATATTTCTTTATCTAGTTTTCTCATTGCCACTTGCTGGCTTTTTTTTATATTTTCGGAACTCCAGTGGTATAATCTACTTAGTGCTCACCTTTGTCTCTGGCTGATTGGAGTTTATGGATGCTCCTCCTTCTGGATTCTAAAGTGAATAACATTGGTCAGAGGCCTGGGACCCCCTAGTAATTGCGCTGGCATGTGTACAAGTCTTAAGGTGGCCATACACTCTACAACCATCGCAAGACTTTAGTCTTGCGATGGTTGTAAAGGGATTTAAAAAACGTACGATCTGCCTATCTTGGACAGGCAGATCGCACTCTCGATCATCGCAAGCCCGCCCCCCTCAGGGGCGGGCTTCCGATGACCGCAATGCTGAATGGGCAGTGTGCGCGTGCGCACACCGGCCCGTTCAGCATTTGTCTTCCGAGCACCGTTCTAACCAGCCGAGAATCGTACGATTCCCGGCTGGTTTTCGAACATGCTGGTTCGACAGAAGACGTGCGACCGTATAGTAGAAACGGTCGCACGTCTCCGTTCACACTGCTCGATTATCGTACGAAAAACCGATCGCATACGATTATCGTACGATAATCGTGCAGTGTATGGGCACCTTTAGAATGCAAACAGAGATTTAAGGTGCCCATACACCTTACAATTATCTGCAGATTTTCTGTGGTTAGATGGAAAAAGTGCAACAGATTGGCCCAGGTGGAGATTACTCCATCCACACAGTGTAGTGTAGACGGAGGAATCTGTTGCACCATTTCCATCTGACCAGAGAAAATCTGCAGATAATTGTAAGGTGTATGGCCAGCTTTACAGTCATTCCTTTGAAAGTTGTAAGAAACCAATAGGTGGCTTAACTCTCCAGCATCTAACAAAAATGTCACTTTTAACATACAAGCATTTGGAAGGCTGTTGAGCAACCCAATCACTTGTGTGCTGCCAAAGAGTGTGTCCCCTTCTGTCACCACTGCCGGCTATACTGGGATCTGATACCCTTCGTGCAGGCCCAGGACCGGCATGGTGATGTGTGCGGCTGGATTTGAGGAAGGTCAGTACTTTTCCAGTCGTTGATCTCTCCACTTACTAAAACTGCAAGCGACGATGATATCTCCACCTCGGTTTGGGCTGTCCCTTCTCTGGCTGCTGTAGTCAGAGAAGAAGCCGGTGAAGCATGATCTCTACTTCAGTGGGGTCCTCAGGTGACATAATAGACCCCTGATGTCTCCATAAAGAGGATGTGTCACCTACTCTGTGCCATCACATAGAGGACTTCTTACCCCCCTATGTCAGAGCAATGAAGTTAAGCATAAAAAAAAGAAATTATAGTGAAATGCGAAAATGATTGCGACACTCATTACCTATCACAGTGAACGTTGGAGTGAGAGCAATAATTTGTGCCATCACTCACTGTTAACTCTAAATCGATGCGCAGTAAAGGCTTTTGAAGAGTCGCCATTTCACAGGCACGCACAATTTTAAGGCTTGACATGTTTGGTATCTATTTACACAACCCCATCTTTGTTATTTTACCAAAAATTTTGTATTATATTCTGTTTGTGTGCACTAAGATTAATTGAGTGTGTTTTTTCCCCAAAAATATTGATTTGATAAACATTAGTGCAAATATCGCATGCTTTTTTTTTTCTACAGGGGCCTCTGCTTTCAGAAAATAAATCATTGCTGGGGGGTTTAAGCAGTTTTCTAGCCAAAACTGCAGATTTTAACTTGTGTGCATAAATTTAAAAATTGCTGTCAACGCAAAGTGGTTAAAGGCGCATGTACATGTGAAATTCAGCTTATGCTGGAATCTGGTAAGAAGGCAGCCATACTGGATGCCTGGATTGGGACAAGTGTAGTTTTGTGCTCTACTTTGACCGCAATGCTCCTGATCATGAGTAAGGATGGGCTCGGTCGTATTCGCAGCTTCACGTGCCGCGCCCGCCAGGAAGCTGACAGCACCAATCACAGGTACTGAGACATTTTCCCGGTCCGGTATGCGAGTTCAAACATTCCCAAGTGCTATAATAAATTCCCCCCAGAGAGTTTTTAAACTAGAGTGGGGAAGGATAGGAGTTTTTTTTTTCCTTACTTAGCAGGGACAGGAGATGAAAGGAAAGCAGGACACAGATAGCAATAAAAACACAGGGTTATTACCCTTTACCCAAACTTTGCAAAATAAAAACAAGATGTTGAAGACTGTAGATAAACAAGGTGTACCTAAATGATGAATTCACATATTTCACCTTGGCTAACCATATTTGTACGTCACTATAGGCTTGGATGTGTGGAGGCCGTATGGAAGATGCTCCCTGCTCTCGTGTTGGACATATTTACCGGAAATATGTGCCCTACAAGGTACCCGCTGGTGTCAGCCTGGCAAGGGTAAGGTTCTTCCACCTTCAATGTTTCTAAACATTTGTGTTCCTATGTACGTAAAAAATAATACCAGTTTTGTACTCTCAGTTGCAGTAATCAAATAATGATGACCCTAAAGCCCTTATCTTGTAGTTTCTTTCATGATGAATTTGAATGAGAACAAGACTAAGCACAAACCTCTGGATGTAAGGGTAGAGGGAGCATTTGTTACATTAATGTTCCTCACCTACAGTATTTGTTCTGCTTCCAAACGTTATCTTGGTCCCCATTGTAGAACTGCAGGCAGGACAGCATCTAGTGGCATTGAGTAGTAGATCTTTTCCAGTCTGCTCCACATTGCACATATTCCACCTACCTGTCACTAGAAACAATGCACCTTGTGTTACTAAGTGTCCTCTGTGCACAGTGTAGTCTGTTCACTGCCATGTTGCAAAATATATTTTAGTGATTACCAAAGAGCCAGCTCTAAAAACCAATATGCAATATGCATCCTGCCTGTTACTATATGGTGGCTGAAAGATACACAGTAACAAATAACGTGCCAAATGTTCCCAACATAAAACAAGGTAAAAGGATTATTTCATGCACACATGTTCCACCTTGGTACCCCTGCACTTTTGTTCCGGTACTGTACCCCCTTGCACATCTGTTCTATTACTATACCCACCTGCACACATGTTCCACCCCTGGAACTCCCTGCACATCTGCACCGCCCTGTTTGCACACATCCTCATCCGTAAGATCAGCTTAACCACCTCAAGTTCTGGTGGGATTTCATGCAGTCCTGCAGGAGGGAACAGGGTGATGCAGCGAGCTGCACATAGGTCCATGTCAGAGGATATCATGTTGGCCAGAGTGACAGCAATCTTTAAAAAAAAAAAGGGCAAGTGCTCACAGGAACCCGGGATACCCTGCAGGAGATGCAAGGACTGTACCCCAGCATTTCATTGCCTGCCTCCCCACTGACATAGCTATTAATGACCTGGTCCCCAGATAATTTTTTCAGTTGCCATGGTGACCTGGCCACCAGAAATTGTACAGGCCTGGATAAACTATTTTAAATCTAGCTTACATAGGACAGTCTGGATATGTATGGTGTTACTGGATGCTGCCCAACACCGTCAGCCTTGTAATTTTGCAAATGTCATACAGAGTAGATAGAGCTATTGTCTGTTTAATTATGTTTTTCAGTGCTGCGCCACACTGTTCACTATGCTCGAGATAACTGTACCCTGTACATTGTCCTGTATCCTTAAAGAAGAACTCTGGGCATAATTATTCTTAACCCTTGCAGTGGGGCTACCCTTGTTCTGCAAGGGTTAAGTGCTCATTTTCATCTAGTGATGAAAATAAAAAGTTTTTCTCACCTGAACCTTGGAGCCGGCTGGCTTCAGCCTCACTCCCCTTCTACTGCAATGACCTAAGGCCCTGTGAGTCATCGCATCCTGTTCAGTGTTTAGGACGTGAGGACATTCCATCGCTGGATCAGAGGAGGAGGCAGGGACCGGAGAACCACTTTTTTTATTTTCATCCTTGAAAACAAGCACCTAACCCTTGCAGTGTAGGGTTGGCCCCGCTGCAGGGATTAAGAATAATTATGTCCGGAGTTCTCCTTTAACTCTCCAGACGGATACTCTGGCCTGTTCTACTTTGTATGTTGTACTGTACATTATATCCTCCAGACTTTTGCACACTGTATGCCATGCTGTAAGTTACATACTTCAGGCCACCATGCTGTATGTTACGGTATATACTCTGGACTGCTCCACTTTTTACACTGTGGTGTACATTACATACTGAAGACCACTCTACTCTGTATGCTGTATTACATAGTGCTGACTGCAGTATGCTCTGCACTGTGTAATAGATACCATACACCACTCTGTATATTGTGTTGTATGATGCACGCTGCGGACTGCCCCACTCTGTATGGTATATGGTACAATACATATGCACACTGTGCTGTGAATTATATACTGTTATTTGTACCATTTTTTTAGGACTTTAGAATTAGATCCCATTAAATAAACAGGCATAGTTGTGTTAGTATTTGTTTGAAGATGGAGTAAGACTTTAAGCCCTCATTCACACGGGTAGCAGCCGGCCCGTACAGATCTATGCTGCATGCACGGCCAAATCGGTCCACTCCCGGAAAAGACAGGTGCTGCGTGTGATTGTACGTGTGATGGGAGTACACTGGCGTACGCTCACCCGAACTGCACGTCCATGGGGGTGTCCATACTGGTAGGCTGTCAGGATGGATCCTGTCTGTGTCTGAGCAGGGACACCCGCACCCGTACGGACGTGCAGTTCGGGTGAGCGTAGGGCGGCATACGGCTGCGTACTCCCATAGAGAAGAACAGGCTGCTGCGTGTAATCACACGCATCACCTGTCCTTCCCGGGAGCGGCCAGATACAGCCGTGCACGCAGCATGGATCTGTACGGGCCGGCTGTTGCTCGTGTGAATGAGGGCTAAGAAAAGTTTGTATGAAAGAGTAAAAGAACATTCTGGTAGTTAAACTAATATTGGCACTTTAGCATTCTAAAGTAAGTAACTGGTCTAAAAAAATTTTTACAATGCTACCCAAGGTAGGTTCATATTATTGTTAAAATGCAAGGCTGTTTTAAGAATTCCCAGTGTCTATGAGCAGTCTGATCCTCTCTGGACAAATAGAGCTGTAGACATGTGCGATTCGTTTCGTTCCGAATCGAAATTCGGACGAATTTTCGGAAATTCGGACATTCTGATGTATCCGAATTCCGAATTACAGACATAACGAATGCAAACGAATCCGAATTTCCATTTCCGAAATTCGGTAGCGGTAGTTCGAACGTTCGTTTCGTATTCTGTTCTTATTCGTTTCTTATTCGTTTCGTTCGTTGGAGCAAAGTGACATTAGAGAAGGAGAAAAATATTTTTTCCCCCTCAAATGTCACTTTGCTGCGAACGAACGAAACGAATAAGAAACGAATAAGAACAGAAAACGAAACGAACGTTCGAACTACCGCTACCAAATTTCATCCGAATTGACTTTCACACCCGAAACCCGAAAAACGAAATAACACAAATCCGAATTTAAAACGAAACAAAACAAATTTTTTGGCAGTGCACATGTCTACTTAGCTGTACTTAATGGAGCACAATTTATTTCTGTACTATTGATTCCAAATCACTGAACACAACAATACTTGTAATGTTGCGCTTTGTTTTAGCCCCATCTAGTGGTCATGGTGCTAACTCCTTTATACAGCTTGATGGTACTTCCAACCAAGAATGTCAATTAAATTGCCTTTATTGTTGGGGATTCATCATTAATAACTTGCACTTTAAGTTTTGCCTGACAAGTACACATCTCCTTCCAGAACCTGAAGCGAGTAGCTGAAGTGTGGATGGATGAATATGCAGAGTACATCTACCAGCGACGTCCTGACTACAGGCATCTCTCTCCCGGCGATGTGGCATCCCAGAAGGAGCTGCGCAGCAGGTTAAACTGTCAAACCTTCAAGTGGTTCATGAACAAAGTGGCTTGGGACTTGCCCAAGTTTTACCCTCCTGTGGAACCTCCTGCCGCTGCATGGGGAGAGGCAAGTGAAAGACAGGCCCAGATAAGTAAGATGTATTTAAAGGAACCTCTATCCAGGATGGAGTGCATTATCTCTGTTTCATTAGGGTGATTTCCCTTTACTTCATGTTCTGTAGAGTCAACAGGAAGTGTGAGGATATCTTTGCAATGTGAGGGATATCCCCTCTTAGACAGTTGTCACAGAAACAAGAGTCCCCATTGGAAGATTTACGTGCTACTTCTGTTCTGGTGGCAACTCAAAATGTTGGTATTACCTTCACTTTTATTTCCAGTGCCATTGGTGTTTGGGACAATTAGAGAGAGTGAATCCCTATAACGGGGATGCAGGCAGCAATAAAAACCTGATAGTGGTTCTATCCTCTCACCACTAAATCCAAATCTAAAAAAAGTGTTGTCTTTAGTTATAATTGAACTCAAGGCAAACGGCTATGTAGACAAATAAAATACTTAGAAGGAAGCTGCTTTAGCTGCCAAAGAGTTTGTATTTTTGTCTATTTCTGAGACTTCACAGTCCTGTCACAGCACAGCTGGAGAATGACACTACTTTCTCTGTCACAGTTCTAGACTGTAGAAGTGATTCAGTGGTGTCATCTCCCTACCTCCAGCCTGCTGACGAGACAGTCAAAGAGCAGTAGCAGGCTGATGAGGTCCCCCTTCTGTTCAATCTTTTCTCCGCTTTTGTCGTCATGTTCCTTGTCAGCACATGTCCATGCAGGTATCCTGATTGACTCTCAGTGCTGTCCTTCCCTCTCCCAGTCTAAGCTGTTGCACAGGCAGTTGCAAGTCAAATTCAGGTATTTACAAAAATTGCATTCAATTCCTTTTAATGATGTCTTAATAATACAGAGCTGCATTAAATTTGTGCATTTTACATCTGCCTGTAGTTCAGCTTTAACATTTTCAGAACGTTGTCTTTGTACCCAAAAAATGTGTGTCTAAAGCCAAAACATTGTAATTTAGTTATGCATAGAGCGGTGAGGGGTCATTACACCTGCAGTTTTTTTTATTGCTCTTAAAGGAGAACTATGAGGTGAGTGCTTTTCACTCATCCTCCTAGTTCTAGCCGATGTGTGACAATGAAACTGTCACAAGTAGGCTCAGTAGATCGGGAAGTGAGCGAACACATACCGGCGCTCGCTCACTTCTTGCTCCTGTCACGGCAGAGAGCCGTGAAAACGGAGGGACTGGAATCCCCCCTCCCCGCTCCGATCCGCCAGCGCTGACTGGCGGAACGGACGGGGGAGGGGGCGGTTACAGCTGGCTCTGCATCTAGATAGGCAGAGCCAGCTGTCACTCACGCAGCTGGGCGGATCCAGACATAATTGTCGGGATCCGTTTCAGCTGCGGCGTCCCTTAGGAGAACTAGGGGGAAAAGCCCTAACCCCATAGTTCTCCTTTAAAGAATAAAACCTAAATAGAGTTATGATTCCAGTTACCAGTAAGTTATAAAACAGAAGTATCTTTGTTATCAAAAATATGCACGGGCATGTAAAACGATTGCCCACCCATTAAGAAGGTTTCTCTTGGTCTATTTAAGTGCAACTGCACATTATATGTTACCCACTATCTTCAAAGTATATGCATAGCCTGCTTCCTATACCAGTAATAAATATCAAAATCAAACAGAAAATAACAATTTGTAAAAATTAAAACCTTTACAAAAATATATATCCAACTGTTCAATATAGAGATTGTATCCAGTTATCTGCTGCATGCTTTCCAATCACAGTAATGTTTAAGTACAATTTGTTCTCTTTCCAAAGGGATAGCACATTGTTTGCTTTTCATAGAACACCACTGTAGAGATCAGTGCTCGGTATTCCCACATAAATAGCACGTGTCAAGGATCATATGATGGTAATGCACTTGTATAAGTGTTTAAAATATCCCCATAGGATCAATGCTCAGTGGTGATATTGAATCCTAGAGAAATCCTTGATGGTCCATCTTGTTGGAAAATAGTGGTCATCAATACCAGCATCAATATAGAGGATCACTTTCACTCCTGTTAGACCACAGCATAGTCCATACACACTTCACGGCTTGTAAATGGATGTATGGATTGTATCACAACATGAGAAATGTTTATCAGTCCCCTGAGGACATATAATCTTGGAACCTAAAAGGGTATCCACTGATGAAATAATAGCATTCTCACAGATGCGTATGTGTCAGCAACAATCAATATCCACACAATATATGGCTTCTCAGAGATTGCAGTTGCTGGTATGTGTAAAGAGTGGACATAGGAATTACATTTTATCCAAAAGACAACCAGCAACTAACAATTGAGCCAAATGAAAGTGAAGCTTAGCAAGATCTCAAACTGAAAGGATGATAACAGTCCCACGCATGCATATGTGTCAGTAAATGTTATTATCATTGTAGCATATGGTTCTTTAAGGAAGAACTCCAGAATTTTTAAAAATTAACCCTTGCTGTGGGGCTACCTCCGCACTGCAAGGGTTAAGTATTCGCTTTGGTCTAGGGGAGGAAATACCCAATTCTCTGTCCCGCCTGACTGCTATATCGGTCCCTGCAGTCTCTTCTCCCCTGGGCTCCGGCGGTCTAAGGACCTATGACATTATCACATCTAATGCAGGTCTATTAGACATGAGGACACTGAAGGACGTACAGGAGAGTGAAGTGAGCAGTCACAGGATCAGATGAGCATTTCTTCTTTATTTTCACCACTAGACCAAAACGAGCAGTTAATTTATGCAGAGTGGGGGTAGCCCTACTGCAAGAGTTAATTTTTTAAAATCCTGGATTTCTTCTTTAAATTTGCAAGTTCGGATATATATAAATTATGTTCATAGAAACTGCATTCCATTCATAAGGCAATCCATGTCCTAATGGAGTCTGATCTCAAAAAAGGCTACAGGGCAGCAGCAAGGTGGTTTGGGGGAAAGCAGGAAGCGCCAACAGGCCCATCTATGCAGCCTACGTGTCCCGTTCAGTCATTTCACCTAATAGGCTTCTTTGGAAAGGCCGATGGTTGCCCATTAGGAATGGTCCAGTTTAAAAACAGTGCCTGGCAAAATCCCCAACAAAAAGGCCCTGTCCACAAATCCCAGGGTGCAGTGCAGTTGCACACACATCACAAATGGTGCCTTTGGAAGGGAGCCATTCGCATAATCAGCCTGGAACGCATGGCTAGCAGGTGTAAACTTTTACTTATGTATGTATGAAAAAAATCAAAAATCTTTTTTTTAAAAGATAAACAAAATTTAGAGCACCCTAATTCAGTGCCATCATTCAGTATATGTACATAAGGATACCAACACGACAGTGATTGACTATATTCCTGTGTTACATTCTTACAGAATTTTTATATATTTTTTCTTATCTTCGTTAACGGACATAGGATCAGTAGTAAATCATAGACAATTGGGTTCTACTGCTGCCTACAGAAGGAATCGGACAGTTGGCCAGCCAGATATAACCCATCCCACCATGCTTGAGTATTTTGTCCTAGGAGGAAGGACTCCTGTCTCTATTGAGAAAAGTTTACTCATTTTTACTAGCCATTTTTTTCTACTGAGATTATCATTTTGCTTCAAGTCTAGAATTTCTCTCTTTGCTGCTTAGCAGGGGCTCTTTATGCTGCTATCCAGATTGTCTAATTTTCAGGGTAGCTCTGTAGGCCGTTCCCAGACCGTGTCTAGAATGTGACCTTAGGGCTCTGGGCTCTGCTTGTAGCACTTTCCAAACCTTGTGTCCCACATTAGTTAGCCGCAGAGCGCCCTGGAGGTCCACAGCTGTGACATTACCTTTGTTGTGACATGTCACTGATGGTTCACTAGTGAATATGACTATTAAAGCAGTGAAAACACCTTATGTACCTACATTTATTAACACTGCTTATAGCACTTTCCATGCTGCCACAGAGCACATTACAGGGGCAGAGCGGTGGCACGTCTCCAGTGTGTCCAGTCTCTGGTGCCCTTTTATCATTCACTGTGCAGTTTTACTTTTGGGAGCTCTCTTTTCTGTCAGCTACAGAAAGAGTTAACCATACTCTGGCATATTATGCTGCGTTGCTATCTCCAGCAGCATGCCCACATTCTCCTCACTCTGTTTCCACCCTGTTTTGTTTAGTGTGAGATAGCTCTCCCTGTCTTCACTCCTGCAAGGGACAAAGAGTTTTCACCTCTCATACTCCTTTGTGCCGCTTACAGTGTCAAGTCACAAAGGGGAGCAGTCCTGCTGCTGGGGGCTTCTCTAGTTCACAATCCAATGACAGTTCTAGGGCCGCCTGCAGTGTCCCTGCTCAGGATCTTGATACCAACTGCCTAGACTTTTGTCCACTACTTGAGTCAGTTCCCTCATCAGTCTCCCCCGTAGCTCCATCAGGTGTGGTACTCTCCTCTGCTTTATCCAGGGAGAAGTTATACACAGCTATGCTGTATTTTATGAATAAAGTTTCCATGATGATTGCTGGCTCTGAATGTGGAAGCCGTAAGCATGCTGCTATGCCTTCAATAGCCTCTGAGTCTCATGCCGCGGATTCCTTTTTGTCAAGGAGGCTCACAAATCCTTATTGGATGAGGCTGTTCCTGAGGAACAGCAGTAAGCTACCATTACCCCCAGACTTAAAGGAGCCATTACGGTTCTTACCGACACAGTGCGAGACTCCTTAAAAATAGATCAGTCTGATGCTTCTACAAGTGTAGTCTGGTATCTCTCCAAGGTCCAAAAACTGTTAAAAGCTTCCCAGTTATTTCCTTGCTTGATGATGTACTATATGGAGATTGTGATAAAATGTTAACTCCTTCAAAACACTTTTAGGAACAATACTAATTTGAGGCGTCCTATATTATAAAATGAGCAATTCCCACTGTAGATCCAGCGATTTCGCAGTTTAGCCAAACATTGACGGTATCTATTGACGATGCTCCGGTGTTTAAGGATTTTACTGACAAACACTTGAAAGCGTTTTACAAATCTTTGTTTCACTAGCAGGTTGTTCTATGCAGTCTACCATTGCTGTGGTGTTAGTAGTAAAGCCTAGGGGGGAATAGATTACACAAATGTCTCAGTATCCAGCTGAGCTGCTATTCTCACTGATCCTTTCAGGTTAGAATACTTAGAGCCTCTACCTTCTCCCTGCACAATTGTGTAGATAGATTAGTCAACATCACTCGCCTGGTTTCCAAAATTAGCGTAATCTCCATCAATATACAGAGAACCCTTTCCCACAAATGTTGATCTGCAGAACACGCATATAAAAATCATTTGCTTTGCATGCCTTTTGAAGGGTATGTATTTTGAAAGTTTTTGGATAACTTCATTAAGGAAATCACTGGTGTAAAAATACACATTTACCCCAGCAAAAAGGCCAGGGTCCTAACATGGGAAGACTTTTTCCACTTCTAATGCCAAGAAGAGGTTTTTTTCATTTCTCTTTGGCTTCATGTACCCAATTGAGACCCATACCAGGCACCAAATTCAACTGAAAGCCTTGGACCTCAAAATCCCAATCCACCTGTCCTCTTGATCATTAGGATTGCCCCATGTATCAAAGGGGGGGACGTTCTTTGTGGACACCTAGACCGAAACCATCTTAGATGCCCCAGTTTTTTACTGTTGTTATATGTGGGCTTCTTAGAATGTAATTGCTGTGTTGTTCGGTTGGACTGCTGTAGGATGTCACAATGGTCTACGATTTACAACTGATCTTGTGTCCCTTAATAAAGGATAAACAAAACAGGATGATAAACTCCACGAAAATGATTTTACAGTAAGTACAAAAATCATGTCTTATCCTAAAACAAAAAACTTTACAAAAACTACAACCTCAACAATATGTGAGGTAATGGTGAAACATAGGGAACCCCACCAAAAAAAAAATAATGTAATAAAAACAAAAGTTAATAGACTTGTTTATTTACCTTGATGCAGCAGCAATATGTTATCAAAATCTCTACATTGTGGATTCCTATGTACTCTATCCAAAGAATAAAAAATTAGCTTTGGGTGTTAGAATATCGCATGACCAGGGCTTCTTTAAGTTTTTATTAAATATACTAATTTTAGGTCAAATGTAGCAACCAATGTAACAACAATCCATGTTCATATTTAAAATAATATTTCCTCAGTACAGTATTGCAATTAGCATAATGTGATACCATAATCATCTGACTATTGTGTAGAAACATTAAAGTGACACCAAACTGAGGAGTTAAATCTTAAAGGAGAACTATGAGGTGAGTGCTTTTCACTCATCCTCATAGTTCTAGCCGACCTGTGACAATGAGACAGTCACAGGTCGGCTCAGTAGATCGGGAGGTGAGCGAACACATACCGAGTTCAGTCACCTCTCGATCCTGTCCCGGCTCTCTGACGTGACAGGGGGAGGGGCTGGATTCCCCTCTCCCCGCTCCGATCTGCCAGCGCTGACTGGCGGAACGGACAGGGGAGGGGGCGGGTACAGCTGGCTCTGCCTCTAGATAGGCAGAGCCAGCTGTCACTCACACAGCTGGGTGGATCTCGACAGTAATTTCGGGATCCGTCCTGGCTGCGGCTGTCTCGTTATATCGCAAGCTGTAGCTCGCAATATACTGAGCTTTGGGTCAGGGGAGGATGCTAGTTTCTGTCCTCCTGTGACCCTTAGGAGAACTATGGGGTAAAACACTTAACCCATAGTTCTCCTTTAACTGCAGCAGTGAAATATCAGGCCGCCTTCCCCCCTCCCCGGACAGGGCTGCGCTGTGTAAATCTCAGAGCTGAATGTACTAAAATACAAATCTTTTGGCAAGTGAAGCCGCTCCCACATATGTATTTTACATGTGTATATATACACATATGTATATTACACAGCTGGGCGGATCCCGTCATCTAAGTCGGGATTCGCTCCGGCTGCAGCGTCTCAGTATACCGCGAGCTGTAGCTTGCGGTATACTGAGCTTAGGGTAATGGGAGGACGCTAGTTTGTGTCCTCCCGTTACCCTAAGGAGAACTATGGGGAAAAACACTGACCCCATAGTTCTCCTTTAAAATGCATTTGAAACAAACAGCCACTACGAACATCATGTTTCGTCAGTATCTTGTAATACCAAAGGGCCATGTATACTTGGCACATTTTATGTGCCCATGCCTTGGCATAGCTCCATTAAAGTAGCACTGAACTCAGGACTTAAAACTGAAAAATACCTTCACTTTGAACAAAAATGTATGCTATTGGTGTAACACTCGGCTGTAGTTCCTCAAATCATCTCTGAATTGCTGCTGACACTGTCCTTCCTTCTGGAGGGTGGCTACTTTTGTTCCCCATGGTCCCTGTGTGTTTTGTAAAGCAGTCACCGCTCCAAGCTCGGTCCTGTGATGGACTACAATCTCAATATAAATTAGTAAAATAAACGTGAGATTATAGGGCATCACAGGAGTGAGCTTGGAACTGTGTCTACTTTATAACACACACAGGGACCATTTGAGGATCTACAGCCGAGTGATAGAAGATTTTAAAAAAGGTCAGCAATGCTAGCCTCCATTTTGTCATGACACAGTCACTTTAAAAAGAAACAACTTTTTATTCACTAAACAACTTTTTATTCACTTGGTAGGGCCAGATCTGGTCCTCGATGTTTGGCCTAGCCCTGTCACATATGGGCAGGGAGAGGCGCTTCAACTTTGTATAAGCCTTGGCTGAAATTGTTTTGAAGCTTACACAGTGCTTCTTTTCTCTTTCCCAGGGGCTGAACTAAGCTTTGGGGGTGCAGAGAGATGCTATGTATTAGAAGCCATGGGGCCAGCATGGGCAAACTACAGGTTAATTTTAAGAATAAGGGTTACTTCTCCACAGCACCAATCAATTTTAAACTTTCTGCAGCTGTACATCTGATTGGTGGCTGAGCAGATGTTTTCCATCTTTACAGTAAAGACATGTGGATACAGAATTTCAGACCTAGAACAAAATAGCGTATAACAAGGCAACATGGCCAGTATTATTCTAAATGAAAGTGATTTTGAAATGTGTTAAAGAGGTTTTCTAAAATGGCTAAATGGGAGTTTTCCTTTTAGCAATGTTTAATGACTCCTTCTATTCAATTTTAGGAGTAATGAAAAGATGTGAATATTGATTGAATCTTCTTTTTTCCTCCTATCGTCAGATCCGGAACAAGAAGACAGGTCTCTGTGTGGACAGTAAGCATTCCTCTATGGGCTCCGAGTTAAGACTGGACACCTGCACCAAGGGGCGTAAGGCAGATGCCTGGAACAGTGCACAGGTAGATAGGATAGTTGTCTGAGTCTACCATATAGATCAAAGCTCAGAAGTGAGAAGCTAATACAAAATCTTTTTCAGGTATTCACCCTGGGTTGGAGAGAAGACATTCGCCCTGGAGATCCACTGCACACTAAGAAAGTATGCTACGATGCCATATCTCACACCAGTCCCGTCACACTCTTTGATTGCCATGGGATGAGAGGGAACCAGCTGTGGAAATACAGAAAGGTTAGTAGAGCTAGAAAATATCCTCTATAGGCACAAAAGAATATTAGATGATAGATGGACAGATGGATATATGGATGGACGGACAGGTGGACATATTGATAGAATGATATAGCTAGTCTGTGTCTGGCTGTCCTTTTAGTCTGTTGCATATCTATCACTGTCTATCTACCTATGACATTCTGCAGCTGGCCATAAACATGTATTCCCCCCTCCCCTCACCTTGCATCTTCCCTGACATGCACATGTACGCTCTGCAGAGACTTTATCCTAAGAGCCATCCAGATCATGCTTGACAGCTAGCCGCACTCTAAGGCCTATCTGTCTGTCTCTGTCTGTCTATCCGTCTGTCTATAAAAATGTAGATAGGCAAATACTAATCCTGTCTGATTTACTTGCAGGATAAGACCATCTTTCACCCCACCAGTAACAGCTGTTTGGACTGCAGTGAATCAGACCGCAGAATCTTCATGAGCATTTGTAACCCTTCCTCCCAGACACAGCAATGGACTTTTGAAAACACCAACTCCACAATCTTAGAAGCCTTCAACAGAGATCGGAACTTATAAGGACGGATGGAAAGGATATACATATATAAATAGGAATATATATATATTTTAAATCTATATTTTTTACTGATAAGTGGGTGGGAGATTTGTTTCTTTCTGGCAATTTCAGCCTGACACAGCCATGCTGGGGGTAGAGATCTCTCTGTTAATGCTCAACCCCTGCCCAAAGCCCCTTTAACTGGAAGAATAGATTTGGGGTATAGTTATTAATATCTAGGACTTGTATTGATGAGTTTGTACTGTGCCGCCAGGTTACCTTCTGTCTGCTTACTGGGCCCTTCCTAATGAAGGGTGCTAACCCTTTCTTCAGAGACAATGAGTCTACTGAATGGACTTAAACTGTAGGTCTGAGCACAATAAAAAAACATATGCAATATGATGCAAGTACCAAAAATACCTGTTGATCCTGCCAGAAATGCAAATGCTTCTATGCTACAATGCTGCCTCTGCTGCACTGAAATTCCAACTAATGCTATCAGGCCTGCCTGAGTTCTCTATTCTACTGAACTATAGAACATCTCCCCCTCTCCTCAGCTTAGTAACAAAAGGGAGAGGACTAGGCAGGTCTAACAACACTGATTGGGATTCCAATGCAGCAGAGGCAGTCTTGCCAGCTTTCTACGGGAATTTAGGAGCTCACAAGATTTCTGGAAGGTTAGAAGGTATTTAAAAATACTTGTAGCATGTATAAAGAGACAAAACAGAGAGATGTACTGAATAGATTTTTGTTTTTCCCAGACATACACGTTAAAAAGAAAGTAAAGGGCATTTTGCTGAGTAGATATTAAGCGTTATTATTGCCATGTTTACCCTGAAATACCTGGCTGTGACTTTTTTTTTTGTTTAGCTTCCATATTTTGGTATCACGCAATGCTTTTAAAAAGCTCTCGTTGGCCTTTATTTGTTTTGCCTGACACTTAACTCAGATCTGAATACACCTTAGATGCAGTACTGAGAATATTATCAGTCAGCTTTGATTATTGCGTCTCTGGAGAATACGTTATCAAATAGCAGCCAGGACAACTGAGTTTTGGGGAGAACAAATAACCTCTAAATATTGGCCCTTACACATTTTTCTACTAACCCTCAGCACTGGGGAGAGTTCTCCTTTATAATGAACTTGTCCAATCATCTCATACCTGGCTTTAGCAGAGGTTCCTGCACAGGGCTGGAGGCTTACATCTTCCTACTATTTGGATCAGAATAAGATCTGGCCTAGAGGACATATGCAAATTCATACTCAGTGGCATGCTTGCCCCAGAGCTCCACTATATGGCCAAACATTTGTGGACACCTGACCATGTCCACCTACTATACAGACAAAAGTATGATGACACCTCTCCACTTCTTGAGTTCAGGTGTTTTCAGTGAAGGTTACAGCTATTGTTGAAGCATACAGTATAAAGTCATTTTAGACTATTGTGCACTTTCAACCTGATGGTGACAGTATGGGGGAAAGCTCAGCATGACTGAGTCCCTATTCACAAAGCCAGCCACAATAAATAGTTTGGTGTGGCCTGCACAGAGCCTGGACATAAACCTTATTGAAAACCTTCTGGATGAATGGGAACACTGAGGTCTTCTAATCCAAAATGAGTACCTCACCTCACAAATGCTCTTTTAGCTAAATAGGTCCATTTATATCCCCAAAACACTCCAATATATTGTGAAAAGCATTCCCAGAAGAGTGGAGGCTGTTAGTGCCACAGAAAAGGGGCCAACTCCATATTAATTCCCACGATTTTGGAATGGGACGTCCAGCAAGCTCATATTGGTGTGATGTGAATATAAATGCTCAGGTGTCCGCAACATTTTGGCCACCTGGTATTGCACTGGCCCTTACGAATCAGAGGGTGATGCCCTCCAATGCTAAATTGGGACTTCTGCTGGATCAGATAAACGTGGTCTGACAGGTCCCCTTTAAAACAGAGCAGTTTGAACACAGCATCACTGAAATGGGCAACCTGCAAAGCGTTAGTAAACAGCAAATGCCGAAACTTGAAATATTTTCTAGTGCCTTGCTGGACAAGAGGACCATGGGAGTTGGGTGGAGCCCGTTCAATTTGTTTTTTCATCGTTACCTCTCAATAACCAGGAGCCATTTGTATGACTGAGTTTACAAAGCCGTGAATGAGTGCGTTTATTTGCATGTCCTAGCAATGAATTACAACTTACATAAAAATGATTAGTGAAACAAGAAGCTTTTTTTTAACCTCTCGGATGAGCTTGCAATGACATCAGTTCAGAAAAAGTTTATGTCTTACAATAACGTAGATACATTGGAGCTGCCATACTGGTAACATACGGGATGCATCAATGCTTAAGAACCACTAAACCTAATGGCAAAGAGATGGTTTATATGAGATACTAGTAACATGCACAGTTAGGATATTTGATGTTTTTAAAGCTTTGTTTTGCCATTTGAGGCAAAAGGAAGCACCATGTTGAGAATTAGATGCTTTCTTCTATGGGGTCACTAAACAGGAAGTTAGTCATCTCCATTATATACCATGTTCCATATAACCATCTTCTATTTTTAAATCCTCTGAGACCCATAGCTAATAATTAATGTAAAACATTACTGGGATAAAACATTTCTAGGGCGACAGTGTTTCTGATATGCAGCACTTTATGTTGCCTGTGTTAGTCTTCAGTTTACTCAGTGTGGAGCCCTGGTTGTGGCCATGACTCACTCCTTTCATTCAGCTGTTAAATGCCAAAACGTCAGTGGGCAGTAGAGGATGGGCAGAGAAGGGGCATAGTTAATCTTAGCTTCCCATGGCCATATGTACAGCCTGGGTTTAGGATCCACAGGCACATGGAAATTGATTTCAAGACTAACCCAGGGTGTCTGTACCTCAGCACAACTGTTGCCTTAGCAATTTTTTACTTTAAATCGTAACTCACTTTAACGTGTGTGGCCGCACAGCTGACAAATCTGCATGTCTGTTGCCTGAGCCATTGCCCATATTGCCCTGGGGCTAGTAGAGCAGTTACACAAAGACCACAAGGTCATTGTATGACCATATTTTCTACCACCCTTTTCCATATCTGAATGGGTACAGACTGATACGGGGGTCTGTATGGGTTCACCATACCTTCTAATATTGCTTAAGCATATCATGTATCACGTATGTGCTGCAGAAGTTCTATCAGTGTAGAATATGCTTATCTTGTGAGATCTGAAACTGTGTTTCCATATAACCTTCTACCTACCTCTAAATCCCGGAGACCGCAGCACAATGCATAGTGAATGTTTTCTTATATACATATCACTGCTGTCCTGTTGTACATTGATGCAGATTCATGAACTTGGCGGGTTAGATGGGAGTCTGTGCATCTCAGAGCAGCCAATCATAATCTAACCTGGACTAAATTTGATAGGAAATTTACACAGGGCTGGGTAAGCATATGGGAAAGCAAGTCTAAGCTGCTGCAGGGGGCTGGCTTTAAAATAAACCTGTTGCTTTGCCCAGCATAGGTAAAGCACAGGTTCTCTTTAAGGCTGTACAAGGAGTGATGGACAAAATGTAGATTCTATCACAAAAGAACCTTTCACTAATACATTTTTAGTAGGGATGCACAGATACTTTTCGAGTACCAGTGCAGATACTTGGCATTTTCATGAGAACTACCAGGGTTGCAGCGGTTGCAGCTGGGACCTGGCTCTGTCGCTCCACCACTGTCCTGAAATCATTAGTCTGTATTGTTTTAGAAAAACTGACACATGACAATAAACAAAAATGTATCAGTACTCGTACTTGTAAGCACTCGGCAAGTATCAGTACTTGCAAAACTGGTATCTGTGCATCCCTTTATTTATATTTAGAAAAACAAAATCATACATTAAAAGAGAGATGTACAAATTCCAGGAGCTCCGTGTGCTCCTTACAAATGACAGCTGCCTCCTAATTTTTGAATTTTTCTCTAGTCTAGTCTTGGAGCTCAAAAGTATCGGTACATGTACTCGTACTTGTACCGAGTACTGTACTTGGTATCTGTGCAACCCTAATTTTTAGCACACTGAAACTAGATTGCCGCACTCTTCAACTGCCTAGCTTGAAGAAGAACTTGGAGGATATTAAATATTAACCTTTGCACTGGGGCTACCCCGCACTGCAAGGATTAAGTGCTCATTATGCCTAGGGAGCTAAAATAACAAAGTTATACTCGCGCAAATCTCGGATCCGGCTGGCTTCTAGGCCAGTCCCTGAAGTCTCTTGCAGTGCAGACAACCCCACTGAAAGGGTGAAGCGTTCATATCTTAATATCAGAGTTCTTCTTTAAATTAGAATATAATAAGATATTGATGAGGTTATAGGCGTGTGCTGTCCCACAAAGGGGTGGGCTTAACAATAGTGGGTAGGAGAATTTATTATGCTTATGAAATGTCATGTGACACGGTAAATGTTCTGACACAGTGTATGGGAGACAAGAGAGTGACACATGGGATCTGACACCTGTATGTATCATTGTAAAGGTGGCCATACACCAGTAGATTTTTGGACGGAAATGTTCTTTTCTGCCATGAATCCTCCTTTGATTATAGCTCGAGGACCCCATCAGCCACAGTCAAATGTCCATTTTGGAAATCATTCGTTAGACATACTAACCAACACATTTTTGACGAACTACGGAAACAATTTCCTTTTGCACTTGTGCTGTGTTCTTGCAGATATTTATGATGAACGAAAACCCTGCTGATTCATCAATTTTCGATCACAATATAAAAAACAAAAATCGATGATGTACTATTTTCTTTCGAAAGGCCGCTGGTGTATGATTTCCAAACAAAAAGCGCACAGTGTATGGGAACCTTTGGTCCAAGTGGGCCTTTTGTAATGATAGTGCAGCTTGGTAGACTTTCATATATCTTTGTTGCCCATAGCAGCTCTCTCAGATTTCAGCTATCAATTTTCATGTCTTTTTGGGGAAAAGAAAGAATCTGATTGTTAAATGTGGAGACGCGTTCTACTTCCCAGTCCCTACTGCTAGAGAGTTTTAATCTTGAGGTTTTGTAGATGTCGGGGCTCGCCTTCTGATTCAAAAGCGAATTTTAGTAATTTGGCTGTAAGTAGAAAAGTGCCAGCTATCT